CCTACGCTGTGCCCGGGCAGGCGAACGAGCTGGTGCTCATTGAGTGGGGCAACAACCCCATGGAGATCCTCATCAATGACAAGGTACAGCCCCGGGAGCGTGGAGGGTGCTGGGAGGGGGGAACGGGCTGGGGGGGCAGCGTGGGGGACCCCACCGTGCACCACCCTGACCCACTGCCCACAGGTGGCCAAACTGCCCTTTATCATCAACGACGGCAAGTGGCACCACATCTGTGTCACCTGGACCACGAGGGACGGCGTGTGGGAAGCCTACCAGGACGGCACACAGACGGGCAACGGCGAGAACCTGGCCCCCTACCACCCCATCAAGCCCCAGGGGGTCCTGGTGCTGGGCCAGGAGCAGGTAAGGGCTGGGGGGCAGGTGGGGGGGGGCCCAGCTGGGCTGGGGGCACCCAAGGGGAAGGACGGGGCCGCCCGGCCCGTGCCCCCGGTGACAGCGGCTCCTCCACAGGACACGCTGGGCGGCGGGTTCGACGCCACGCAGGCCTTCCTGGGGGAGCTGGCCCACTTCAACGTGTGGGACCGCAAGCTGAGCCCCGGCGAGGTGTACGGGCTGGCCACCTGCAGCTCCAAGGCGCTCGCGGGGAACGTCATCGCCTGGGCCGAGTCCAACATCGACATCTACGGCGGGGCCACCAAGTGGACTTTCGAGGCCTGTCGCCAGCTCAACTAGAGCCACGGACAAGCGAGAGAAACCTCCTCAGCGGGTTCTTTTATTAATTTTTTTTTTCCCCCTTTTTTTTTTTTTTTGCGCAAAACCAACCGAGTACGAAGCCACCCGTCTTGTCCCGGGCGCGGGGATGCCCTGACAGCGGGGCACCCGCCCCCGGAGCCCCACGACCCTCCGGTTTCTGTCTTGCCAACGTCCTTCAACGCCTGCGTGCCTTGGCCTGGCGCGGCTGCGCCCCCCCCGCCGCCCCCCCGAGCCCGGCCCCTGCTTCGCCGCCGCTTCCCCCGGGCACCGGCGCCTTAAAAGGCTGCGGGGCCCGGACAGGAGCCCCCTCGGGGCTCCTCTTTCTCCAGCCTGACCCCCCCTGCGAGGGTGGTGGCCCCGGAGCCGGGGGAAGGCTGCGGCATCCCCTCCAGTTGTGCTCCAAGCCGGGGTTGTAACAGCAGCTGGGACTCCATGGAGGGGGCAGCCCCTCCATTCCCACCCCCGGGGTAAGGAGACACCCCCTCCCCGTTCCCAGGTGAGCCCCAGTGCCCCCTGCCCCGGCCGGCGCTGCTCCCGAGCACCACAGCCATAGCCCCGGGCTGCGGCGGGCACCGGGGCGGGACCCCCGGCGGGACCCCCCCACTGGCCCCGCTGCCCAACCTGCCGCACTCAGGTACCCCCGGCCCCGCCGCCTGCAGCCCCCCGAGGCCTCCTACGCGCCGTAGCTGGTGACAAATAGCCTTTACCGTCCCCTCAAGTCCAGCTCCCACTGACAGGTCTGAAGCCTTTCTGCTTTTGATAATACACTCTCTTGTTTCTCTTACTGTAAAGGGAAGTTTATTACCAATTAAAAAAAAAAAAAGGGTATTTTTATGAAAAAAAAAAAAATATAGAATTATCAGTGCTCCCTGAGGAAAAAAAAAAAAAAAAAGTGCTTTGAGATTCTGTGGGATAAAAAGAGATAAAGAAGCGTATTTTGAGATAACAGATGCATTTTGTATGGTTTCCTTTTCTAAACTCCTGGTTTGTACTACAGATTGCAGAAATCACCCCCCAGCCCCCTCCCTGCCCACCCAGGGCTGCCCTGGGTGGCAGTGGAGGATGAGGCAGAGAATTCACACAGGGCTCCAGAGCCTCCCGACCAACTCCAAAGATGCGGCAAAGACACGTGCGGAGCCGGCAAGGCCACGGCCCCCCGGCTGGGAGCACAGAGCCAGCCCGGCCACTGCTGCCTTGGGGACCTGGCACAGGCAGTGACACCCCAGAGCGAGACACCTGCACGGCCGGGGCTCGGGGCAGCGGATCTTCAACTGTGCTCTTGTTACAAGCAAAACCCCAAAACCACCGTGAGTTTAATTTCAGTTCCTCCCAAGCCCCTGTTCACATCGGCGACAAGCACAGCCTGCTGAGAACAACGAGACCACGGCACAGGTTTCACCTCCAGCCCCAGGTGCGTTGGATTTGCCAAAAAACCACGAAAGGGTGTGATGTCAACACAGTGTACATAGTGTACAGTAGGGGAGAGATTAATGTATCTTAATTTGTCATTATTTTGCTAACCAAAGCTGTACATTTTTCCTATTCTGGCTCTGTCTCCTTTGGGATTTGAAGGGGTTCCGACACCCCGCGCATCCGGCCCGCATCGGCAGTTCTGACAATGCACTGTTTCTACGGATTCTCATGCTTTCTCCATTTTATTGCTGGGATTACATGAATTGTTGACTTTATTTTTACACAATAAAGAGCGAAGAAAGACACCGGGCTCTCTCACATGTGTCTGTTCCCTGAGCAGCCAGTGCTCGGGAGCTGGTGTTTTTCCAGAGGAAGGTTCTGCCTGTGTAAAGCAGGATTTCTGCCCAGTTCCCCTTGGAACTGGCTCAGGCACACCCCGAGCCCGCCTGCCAGGCTCTCTCCTTCTCCTGTACCCTTAGACCATGTCTTGTGCTGGTTTATGTAACACATCACCCAGATTGATGTATTTTTTCCCTCAAGACACAGGCTGGAAGCTCAGCTCCCTCCGGGTCCTGCCAGGCTGGCTCGGGGGGACAGTGACACCCCCCGGGCTCTGCAGCAAATGCTTCTGCTGTGGGCACCGTGACAACCCCCGAAGCCCGTCCCCACTCCTGGGCAGCGGCTGCCTTGGGGCACTCGCTGTCCCTGGGGAGCCAGGCGGGGTCAGGACACAGTTCCTGGAAGGCAGCACTCCAGGGGTGAATCTGAGCCAGTGGCTCGGTGTGTGATGGGGCTGGAGGCCACCCGTGTGCCACAGCCGTGGGCAGGGCAGCGCAGTGTGCCCGGTGCTGTTCCTGGGTGCTACAACTTCCCTGCTGTCCCACACCTGCTGCAGAGCAGCTGTGCCGGGTAAATAGATGATAGAATCAGAGACTGAGTAGGGAAATCTTTACTTACTCCTTGGGGCCAGCCAAAAACCATCCACCCACACACACAGCCCCCCTGTAGGTGCCCTATCCCACAGCAGCTGGGAGTGGAGCCGTGTGGGTTCAGTCCCCTGCTGCTCCTGGGCACGGGGCAGGGCATGGTGACACCAGCACTGCCCATCCTTCCTTCCTCCACAAGAGCAAGGATGTGGTGACAGCCCCAAGGGTCGCAGCTGGTGTAACCCAGCAGAGCCCTCACTGCTGCCACACCTGTAGCCAGTGAATCTCAGCTTCCAGGGCCTGGTGACAGCCATGGTGAGGGTCACAGTGAGGGCCCTGCGGCCACTTGTGCTGCATCTTCCCAGGTAACATCTCCAGCCACTGCAGCCTCTGCTGAGGGTGTCCCTAACTGGTCACCTGCCACCTCCCACACCTCCAGCAGCCACCCCGGGGTTCCTGTCCTTCACCCAGCCCCTGCCATCCTCATAGAGCCTCTCCTCCTCTGGAGTGTTTGTTCCTGTGGCAGGTCCTTTCAGGATGCCTCCAGCCATAACCATCGGAATACAAAGAACAGGGGGAGGCAGATGCCTCGAGCCAAACTGCAGGTCTGGGCCCTGGGTGTTTTCTCACACCACCAGCCAGCCATGAGCAGAATGCCAAGTGCTGGGCACCCTCGGGAGGGGACAGTCGGCACCAGATCCCCCCCAGGTGCAGGAGGGATTTAGGGCAGCATCTTGCCAGCCTTACAAAGGCAGCAGCACTGCAGAGCCCCCCCCAGCACTCCCCCTCCCCAGCCCTCTCTGGCGACGCAGACGCCGTCCTTCCCCCCCGCCCCCAAAAACCAGCTGCTCCAAGGACAGGCTGTTGGGTTTTGTGTCACTGGGAACAGCCTACAATCTGCAAGGGGATGCTATTTATACCCAGGGAACGCGTGGCAGCTCCTGCCTCCCGCTCAGCCCCCAGCCCCAAGCAGGGCCCTCGGGGTGCTGCTGCCTTCACAGCCACCCCAGCCATCCCTGTGCCAAGGTGGGACCCCAGTGCCCACCCACTGCTGCAGGAGAGGAAACAATACCCTCAGCCAGAGGCTTGTGCTGCTCTGCAATCTGAACTGCAATTAAAACAATTACACTAACGGGTTTTTTGGGTTTTCTGTGGTATCTGGAGAACACTGCTGTGGTGGAAGTGGGGCTGTCCTGGGCCCCAGGGCAGGAGCAGAGCCTGGGGACGCAGTGGGTGATGGCTCAGGGGGCTGGAACTGGAGCAGCCGAGACTTCTGCATCAAGGGGGTAACAAACCTCCCAGCTCATCCCAGCCCACACTCCTCACAGCTGTGAGGGCCCAAAACCCTGTGGGCACTGAACCCCTCATGAGTACAGCTGCTTTGGGACAGGAAAGGAGAGGCTGAGCAGCCCCAGGCCATACCCTGCACCAGGACCTGCTGTTCAGGGCTGGGAGCTGTTTGGTGGCCCCAGCTCTCTCCGCTGACAGCCAGCCCAGTGTCCCTGCAGCGCAAGGATCAGGGACTGCGTTGCTGCCCCGGCGCCGAGCGCGCTAAATCCACGAGCTTTTAGAGCAGCGGAGCAGATGGAGATCTTGGGCTGCGTGAGGACAGGCCCCACGACTCCCATCGGGAGATGGCTCAGAGATACCCACGGGGGCGAGGGAGAGTCCTTAAGGGCAGGACACAGCTGGGATTTACAGCTCTGATCCGGCTCCTCGCGGGAGACTCACACGGGTGGGAAACGCCTGGCTGGGCCCTTTGCACCGGTCCCATCCTCTGCTCCCCCCCTCAGGGCAGCTCCTCCGGGGGCTCCCAGGGGTGAGAGGAGGTCATGGGGAGATGAAAAATTAAAGCTGCTGTGTGTTCCAGTGAAACACCCCTGAAAACCGGAGACAGCGTGTCCTGAGACGGCCTCTCCCGCATCCCTGCCCGCGAGCGGAGCTGCCTGCGGCACTGGGACCAGAGCGTCCCAGAGCATCAGCACCACGCAGCGCCCCGGGCGTGCCAGGCACTTCAGAAATGCCGCCGGATTAATTAGCAGCGAGTGTGTCACGCCGTGTGCGCGGCCTGCGCAGCGTGCCGGGAGCACATGGCTCCAGGAGACCCGGATTAAATATGGATGAGACGCGGAGAGGCGGGAAGAGCCCCCCCCCCCAGAGCAGCAAGGGGGGCTCAGCCCCCTGCCTGGGCAGGGCTGTGTCAGGGAAACCGCAGAGACGTCGGCACATGGGCTACAGAAATCCCTCTGTCTTCACTACCCGAAAATTGGAGGTGATGGGGGGGGTGTGCAGGCAGGACATCCTTCCCCTCCCCAGCACGGATCCCCGATGCAGCAGCATCGTGAGCAGTGATGCCCCTGGGAGCTCAGGCAGCAGCTCCACCCTGCACATGAACACCCCGAGCAGCGAGAGGGTCCCAGGGCTCAGCTGGGCACCACCAGGAGGGTCCTGGCTGTGCAGGGGCTGCCAAGTACCATCCAAGGCTCCCCAGGGACACGGCTCCAAAAAGCCACTTGCAAGCTGGCACAGGAGGAGCAGAGGGAGATGGGCAGCCAAACTCTGCATCTGGGGCACCAGGCAGGGCTGGGGGAAGTCCTGGCTTAGGGAGGGAAAGTGTCGGCCCCCAGTGTGAGAGGGCAGGAGGGGAGCAGGGCCCTGGAGCTGCAGGGCACCAGCTGGGGCACAGCAGGCAGCTGGAAACCACCCCGGGCATGAAGTCAAGGCCAGCAGAGCGTTCCGGTCACAGGCGTGAGTCACCGCTGTGACTGCCCCTCAAATGCCACTCAGGAGCCTTCGCTGGCAGAGCATCCATTCCTCCATCCCTGTGGCACTGCCGGGCATTCGGCCAGCACAGCTGGGCAAGGGGCTTCCTCCAGCCCCTCCTGCCCCCGGGGGACCCGACCAGACCTGACCGGGGCCACACAGAGCCAGCAGTTGCAGAGCAAACTTTGCTTTTCACACCCTGCAGCCCCTCCAAGGGGATGCCTCCCCAGCCAGGGCTGATTCCAGACAGCCCCCAGCAGCAGGGAGACCCCATCCCACCCCCCAGGGGCAGGGAGCTGCTCGGAACACAGGCCTGACCTCCCTCTTTTTGCCTTCCCAGAATATTTTCACAGCCTTTTCCCGGGCTCCTCCTCCTGCGACTTTCCCAGCTAACGCCACCCTGACAGCTGCTTCCTCCCTCCTTCCCATTCATCCCAGATGGATTATGCAGAGGCTGGGATATCAGACTCCACCAAGGAGTTCTGGGGGGATGATCCTCCGGCCGGGGATCCCATGAGGGATCCCACTTCCATCCCAGGGGCGCAGAGGGGAATAACAATTTATTTCCCACCAGAGGGTCCTTGACTAAGCCCCGTTCCACCCTGGGAGAGCCTGTGGAGCAGAAGGAAGACTCTGTCTTCCAAAGCTGATTAAAAATAGATGCAGCATCTTGCTAATTATGCTGATTAATTAGCAGTTGAGGAGCAGGGTGGGCACAGGAGGGGGCACACAAGGGCGGGGGGTAAAAGCGGGGTCAGAGCCCACCCTGTGCTGCCCCGGCACCCTCAGACCCCACAGGTTCCCCCCACCTTCCAGAGCCGGGGCAGCACATCTGGGGGGTCCCCACGCCCCCACTTCCCTCCCTGTCAGCAACAGATGCCAAGCTGCACAGCGCTGCTGGAAATCAGGTCAGCAATAGCCTGCAGCAGATTTGAACATTCCTCATCCTGCCGAGGCTCTGGTGCAAGTGGGAGATGCCACAGGGCAGCCCCACACCAGCGGCCGCCCCCGGCCCGGCTGGCAGGGAGGGAAGGAGGGACGGAAAGGTCTGGATCACCCCGTAAATCCCCTCCTGCCAGAAGGGATGAGCAGGGAGGCAGAGCTCCATCATGCTGCTGAGTCAGTGCTTGTGGAAGCTGGGAGATGGCAGCAGCCCCCCAAACACCCCCACACACCCCCCAGACCTCTCACCCAACACCTGATGGGGCGGGGAAAACCCCGCGGGGACAAAGCTGTGCTGATTTATCCCCTCTGGAAAGGTGAGCAGGGCCTCGAACGCCCACAGAGCCAGAGTGACAGCACCCACCCCCAGCTCACACCAGCCTTTCCCTTCCAGCCCCTCCAAATCCTCCCCATGCCCAGGGACAGGCAGGGGCTTCATGCACCGGTGTTGGATTTGGGATGGGCTGCTCCACAATTGGCAAAGCTTTCTGCTCCCTCTCTGGATCCCATATGTTGGTGCCATTAAATATTCATGAGCTCTGTGGCAGCATCCAGAGCTGGGAGGGGAGCCCCAGCCCGGCATCGGTGGTCTCGGGGATCAGGGGGCCTGGCTCCTGCCCTGCCCCAGCACCCACCCTGGGGCCACAGCGGTGTCAGGAAGGAGCAACAACCACATCAAATTAATTGGATCCTGGTTTACCGCAAACAAAGAGGAAGTAGGTGACATTTACCTAGCAGAGTAATTGATATCTGAGCAATTTGTTGGAGTAACCTCATTATATGCCAGCTGGATTTCCCAAACCCTCCCAATCCCACTCATTACAAACAAGGTTTGTGTGTTAATCAGAGCCTTTAATCACGGTGCTGCCCATCATCATTCCAGCAAGTTACAAAGCCTCCAGATTTATCACACACCCTGAACACCCTCCTAAGAATCTGCCGGGGGTTTTATTAACAGGCGATGATGCTCCTCGGGCAGACGCCGGACATTTCTCTGTCAAGCGATGGCACAGGGGCAGAGCTGGCTCCTGGCACCACCTCTCCTCCCTTTCCTCCCTGGCCTGGCTGATCAGCTCCTCCTCATCCTCAGTGCACGATCAGGAGCTGTTCCCACACAGAGAAACGGCTCCAGACAAACCAGAGGCTGGGAGGTGCCCCTGGCAGAGCCACCCACGGCGGGTGGGCTCGTTCCGAGGGACCCCCCTGGGCACGGCGCTCCTGGTGCTCCCGAGCCCAGAACCCTCCCTGGGTCGCTCTGCCCGGGCAAGGCTTCACCTGTGCCCCCTGAGGACCCAGCGCTGCCAGCCAGGTCCCCTCCGTGCAGGGGGACACGGTGACAGCGGGTACAGAGGAGAAGCTGCCACGAAGGTGGGTCCTTGCTGAGCTTCCCAAGAGCTCCCACACCCCTGCCCTCCCTCCACCCTGTAGGAGAGATCTGTGCGCCCCACAGATCTGCCACCTTGCTCAGGCTGAGCCCTGTACAAGCTGCTCCATCACCCTAATGACACAGCTCATAATTATCTCATTTGCTATTAATTTGGTTGTCAAGAGAAATTCCACTCATTTGCTTTTAATTAATGAGGACTTAAAATAAAGCCATGGGGCTGGGAGGGCTCTGGTGAGAGGTGTCTGCAGCAGGACCAGAGGATCAACCCAGACCAACAACGGGAAGGGCAGTCGGGTGGAGAACTATTTATAGGACAAAAGGACGGGAAAATCCAAAAAAAAGGACAAAGGGACAAAAAAACCCTGCAAGGGAGCCACGATGCTCCCCCAGCTCCCTCTGCATGCCCAGGCACTGGCCATGGGCACCGGCCATCGCATCCAAGAGGCCTCTGGACACCCCGACAAGGCTCAGCTGCCACAGAGGGAACCAACATGAAAAATGCCTGTTTGCAGCCAGAGATGGAGGCTCAGAGCTGAGGAACAGCCTCCCTGCTCTGAGAGCCAAGGGGACACAGCTGCCCCAGCCAGCCCCAAACGCACTGGGAACATGGGAAGGGAGGGGGGCTCAGCTACCCAGACCATGGCTCGGTGTGCCAGTCTGCAGCTGGACCAGGGTCTGGGCAATCATGAGAGAAACAGCCCCTCCTAAATCCTAAATCCACCCAACCAATCCAAAAGGGGAGAGGAATGAGAATTGGGGGCGGGGAGGGGGGAAATCCCAATAAGTCACTTCCCCCGTCCTCAGAATGGGTGTCCCGAAATACAAACCCTGAGTCACCAGAGCTCCCTCCGTGCAGTACAAACTGCACAGGCAGCACCTACACTGCCTCAGGCTCCAGACACGGAGGTGGGAATCCATCCCACCCAGCCTCAGACACCTGTGACAGAGCTGCTCATCCAGACTCCCTCGAAACTCAGCGAACAGATTTTCATCCTAAAGCGTCTTCTCTCCCTTCTCCAGGACCCCAGGCACACAGTGCACATGTGGGGATCCTCCTTCCTGACCTCTGGCTCTCCACAAAAATCAGAGGAAGCAGATCCAGATAATGTGGAGCAGAACAAACCATTCATCATCTGGCTGGGCCAGAGCCATCAGTGCCACACCCCTGATCCCAGCACTGCTCCAGACCCAAACCCTGTTCCCCAGCAGCACTGAGGGGTGACCAAGCCCTAGGACCCCTGCAGAGACTCCTGAACAGTCACAGACAAAAACCGTGAAGAGGAAAGCCCCCCTGGTGACAACAAAAGGCTTTACAACCAGTCAGTAGTAAGTGCTTTCCTCTGGTTCCCAACAGTTTAACACCCAGAACAGCCAATTTCCAGCAATCAGAGTTAAAAAGGACAAGACCTGTGTGAGTTTACTTCGAAGGACACTCAAGCTCCACTCTCTGAGTTTCTATTAAGAGGTTTCATGCATTACAAAGCGATTTTCCCTTCCCAGGGTTATAAGCCAATTAGATAAAGACCAAGTTAATCCCTTATTGTGTCCAAAGAGCCACAAGCAGACACCAAACACAGAGATTAGTCCTTTCCTTTCACCACCCTGGGTTTGGGCAGCTGGGAGAGCATCCCCTGGCACAGGCACACCCCAAACCCAGGGGACCAGAGCCCCAGCTCCAACAGGGCTGCACAGGGGCTGCCAGGTGCCACTGACCCAGCAGCACCACCCTCCACCTAAACCCTAGCCAGGTGACTTTAATCCAGAGTCATCCGAGTTTACCTGTACTTGGAATGAGAGGAGTTCAGAGACTCACGCAGAGGGAAGTCAGGGCAGTGATGCAGAGCCATGTGATTGGGTTTTTGATGCCTGTTTTTTTTTTAAACTTGAGCTTCTTTCCTCACTCCTTGCCAGGCCAGCCAAGGACAGCTGCATCCCCAGCCCTGGATCCCTCACAGGGCGAGCACATGGACCCCACATGTATCAAAACACCCAGGTCCCAGTGGGAAGAGGGAACTTCCAGCAACAGACCCCAAACAGCCACAGCCTCATATTCCTATTGACAAACTCAGATCAACTCCTTGAGCTTCCACCCAAGTCACAGCTTTGGCTGCAGAACCTCCCCCAACCAGCACTCCCCAAATTTCTCATAGTCAAATACCAGCCAGGAACACAAAAAAATCACCAGTAGATCAAGAGATAATAAAACCACAGGCACTCACCCGCTCAGCTGCACAACCAGGTCAGGGGGAGCCACAGTCCCATGTGCTGAGGGAACCTGTTTTCCAGCAGAGCCCTCCCAGAGCTGCCCCACCGACCCCTGGCACAGCTGAGCCAAACAAGGGGCTTGAGCCCAGCTGGGATCGATCTGCAATGGGAGTGGTGTGAGCCACAACTCACACCTGAGCTGGTCCTGTGGCCCCAGCACAGGACTGAGCAATTCCAGATGGAGTTCTCTGGTGTTCTGCCCAAGAGAGGTGGGCAACAGCTGTCCCTGCCCACAGTGTGTCACCTGTGCCCAAATCTGTGACAGGCCCTAGGAGGCTGTCCCCAGGGTTGGTGAAGTTGTTGTTTTGTGTGTGGTTGGAACAAGGAATGGATGAACTGACAGCAGTGCTGTGGCCCCTGGGAAGAGCCAGGACAGGTGCCAGACCAGTTCCTCCCAGTAAGAACTCCCAGGTCGACAGCCCCGCACAGGTGGTTGGGGTGTGGGGTGCCCAGAGCTGTGCACAGCCAGACCTGCCTTGCTGAGCCAGACTGAGTGTTCTGCAGGGACAGTGGGCCAGCAGCCCCCACACATCCCTGGGATCAAAGGAGCAGCTTCCACTGAGACGGTTTTCCCTTCCCAGTCTGTCCACCCACGTACAAACTCTGCTGTGAAACAGCTCAGAGGCTTCCCAGGAGACGGTGGCTCCTTGGCGGGCCTGGGAGCTGCAGCTGCTGCAGCTTTGGCTTTCAAAGCACATCACTGAAGGCTTTTTGGGAAGTGCCCTGCCAGTGCCTGTCCCTCCCTTCACCACTTGCTCAGATGGGCCCCAAAGTTCCCCAGATGGGCCCTGGGGGTGCCGGGTTTTTTGCTTCCTCCTTTTTCCCGCCCAGGTTTCAGGAGGAAGCGCAGAAGGAACCAGCCCAGACCCCAGCCCAGCAGACAATCAGAACGGGCTGGATTTTGCCCTCCCCACCCAAAGCAGCTCCAAGACTGAGAAAAGAACAAGAGTTGTACAAAAAATTTATGCAGCATTGAGGTTAAAACAGCCCCGACCTGAGCACCCTTCCCCAGTCCCAGGAAAGCATCCTTCTTCCTCCTTAGCCTGGAATCTTACACAGCCATGTCAAGAACTCCCACAGCTCACGTTCTGCTCCTGCTGCTCTTTGGGAACAGTCAGGAACCACCTGTCAAACCCAGCCAGGACTCCAAGGGGAGGAGAAGCTTTGGCCCTGCAGACTGGATGAGGGTCACGGATTGATTTGGGCACAGAAGCTCCACAAACAGCTGAGCTGGTGCTGGGCCAAGATCCGGGCACAGAGAGTTTCTTCCAGCCTGGCACCAGAGCTCCCAGTCCACTCTTGGCAAAAACTCCAGCCTGGGATCTGGCCACCCTGACTGATCTATCACGGAGGACCTCCCTCCCTCCCCATCCCTGATGGGAAATTCTCCTTTCCCCTGAGGAAAAACAAACCCTGAGAAACCACTGCAAGGATTATCCTTGAGCAGCAGCTGCTCTGCCACTCTGCCAGGACATGCACAGGGGCTGGCACTGTCCCGAGGGACACAGCCTGGCACGGCTCTGCCCCCCAGGACGGCACCAGGCTCCTGCACTCAACAGAATTCAGCCTTGAGGGAGAGGATCGAGTGAAGAGGAGCCATGCAGGTTCTTCAGGCATCAGACTGATCCTCCAGTTCAGCCTCCTTCTTGCTGCTGGGAAAAAGAACAAGGAAGGGTCACAGACAAAAAAAAGTAGAAAGCAACAAGACCAAGCAACAGTCACTTGGTGAAGAACTCTGGCACAACCAGGGGACACCCAGCCTGGCACTCACAGGGCCAGGCCATGCCGTGAACTGCCACCACAGCAGAGAGCCCCTCCTCCTGCTCCTGCGAGCATGACCTCAAGAATCAAGGGGCTGAGCAGAGCACAGTGAGTTGCACCACCCAGGTGTCCCAAGGAATCTGTAAGAGCTGCCTCACCCAGTGTTCATCCCCCACTGCCACCATCAGCCACCTTCACTCCTTCTGGTCCCCGGAGACTCTTGGAGCCCTGACACACCCGGCTCAGCCCTGAGCAGCTCTTGGAGCATGGCCATCAAGAACCTGTCCAGCCTGGTCCTGCTGAGGGTCTGAGAGAACCCAACCACACTCCTGTGAACTTTGCTGAAGAGGCAGGATGGCCACAACTCCAGAAGCTGCTGCACCTCAAAGGGCTTGCCACAGGTTTACACCAATAAACTGAGCACCCACTGGCCCATGTTATGCAAGAGCGAGGGGCCAAAACCAGCTCCCTGCAGGTATTTCTGTCCACCCTCATGTCACACCTGTAGGTGTTAGTGCTCTGCTTATCACCGATGCCAAAAAAAGACCAAATCCCCACTGACCTTGCCCAGCTCAGGACACGGCGCTGTGAGGGAGGAACGTGTGAAGCAGCATGGCCACACTGACCAGAAATCACCCTTTCTGGAGGCAGCACACGGCACTTGAGCTCACCTTGTTACCCTCCCTGGCCCTTTAATGCCATTACCACAGCTCATTCCAGGAGCAGATCCCCTCTGGAGAGGCACCTGCTGGGCTGCCCACACACCCACCTCTCTGGGCTGGCAGGTCTGACCCCCAGGGGTGCGCACAGCTGCTTCCGAATGTACTCCCTCGATCTGATGTCAGCCTGCAATTGAGGAGAATGGGTGGGAATGGTCTGACCAGCCTGGCTGGTGCCTCCCCCTGTCACCCCAGCGTGCCCAGGAACACTCATGGTTGTGTTCCAGGAGGCAGGACAGCCTGGGGCAAGGAGAGCACCGACACATCCCAAGAGCTGTAAGAAAGTGCTGCTCGGCACTCACTGGGTGCTCTTTGCCCCCCTGAGGTGGTCCTGCTCAGCCCCCCAGCACTGCACCACACCACAGGACTCTCCAATGCCATCACAAGCACGCCCCAGGCTCTTGGACAACTTCGAGAACCGGCAGGTGACTTTTACAGTCCCTCAAAGATTTTTTCTTTTTCAGAAAACTTCTTTCCCAAACACAGTGTGACATTCCAGAGCAGCTGCTGTGCCCCACCTTAAAGGCAGACTGTCTCTCCCCACTTAAAAAGCAGGATGTGACCTTCCCAGCTGGAAAAGCTTCACAGCATAGAGATAATGCTCAGAAAGTGGGTTAACACATCCCTGGTGGCTGTCCTTGAAGCATTTGCTGCTCTCACCACTGTGTTGCCCCTGAGGAGCCTCTCCTGCACTCCAAGCAGCCCCCACACCCCTCACCCCCAGAGCCCTCAGTGGAGGCTGTTCCTGCTGCTGCTGGAACCTGCTCCACAACTGCAGAGCCATCCTGCCAGCTGAGAATGAGAGTTACGTAAGGGGTGGTTTGTTTGGGAGATTTTTTTCCCCTTCTCTCTATAATTGGACAGTTTCATAACTGAACTGACAAATAACTCTGATCACTCTTCAGGATAAGCGATTACGTGATGTATTTTATAACCAGGGAAGGAGGCTGCTCGATAGTCCCTACGGGGACACCAAGGAGCAGGAGGCACAGCTACCAACTATTTTTCTAGGGAAGAAAAACCCCAGCCACGTTCTGCTGAGAACATCAGCTGATGCTTGATTAGGTGGCAGTTCCCAGCCAGCACTCACTCCTAGTGCAGTGCCGGAGTCAGCTTATCCCGGTGATTAACCACAGGGCTAATCAATAAGATGGATCACTGTCCTGTAATAATCCCCACAGATTTGGGCTATTTTCAGAGGGGACAGTGCTGGCTTTGGAATTGCTGCTTTGCCTGTTTTCTGAGGGGCAGTGGTGATCCCTGTGCACACAGCAAGATGGCAGGGGGTACACCCGAAGGGAGTTGGAGCCTCCGGACGCCAGAGACCGACATCCCATCCCAGAGCAGAGGGCTGATGGCTTGTGTCTCACTTCTCCCGAGGGCACATGTTTGATAGTTCACAGGAAGTGACCTGCAGGCCTCCTTCTGTCCTTCCTAGTGGGTTGGAGCAACACCAGGCTGTCCCACCAGCCCCTTCCTGAGCCAGCGGGAACCAGCTGGGCACAAGGCCAGCAGGAGCTGAAGGATCACCAAGTGAGCAGCCAACCAGGAACCTGAACCAGTGAGAGCAGAGCAGGGTCCCAGTGCAATCCCTGTCAGCTGGAGAGTGGGAACAGCTTCTGTCTCCCTGCTGTGCACAGGGATCCCAGCACTCCAGTCCCAGAGTGAGGGGGAGCACTGGAGAAGGGTTCTGGCCTCTGTCGGGAGGAGGCAAGGGCAGTTCTCTCAGCAGGGCTTGGTTCTGTTTAGGGCCACTCAGACTGAGTGCTGTGCTTACTTTTCTGGGATGACAGCTCCTGCCTACCCCAGTTCCTGCCTGGGAGCTCTGAATGACCTGTGCAGCTCTGTGCAGAACCTCACAGAGACCACCCCATAAAAGCACATTTCTCCCAGATGGGCCTGGCACTGGCACGTGGAGTAAGGACTAAGTGGGATGTAAATACTGATGGTAGGTGACAATGAGTTCCCTCTGGTTCCTCTGAGAGATCACTTTGCTCACCTGCAGCACAGCCAGTTCCTTGGCAGTATGACCACACTGTGGGCTGAATGCAAATGGAGCCGTTCTGATTCCTGCCTGGATGGTGCTGCATTCCCGGGAAGCACCACACCCCCCACATGGAACTGGCCAGCCCTGCCTCTGGGAAAGCAGATCTGAGTTCCCACAGCAGCTGCACAGCACTGTCCTCACACAAACCACAACCACGGCCTCAGGAGGTGTGGGCAGCTGAGCTCTCATAGAGCATTTCACTTCCAGGGCTGCCAGAACTTACAAACCAGGAGCTGATGAACTTCCACAACACTGGGAAAGCCGGGAGCACATCGCCCATCAGGTCTGCAAGCTTGTTCTGGCAAAGTCAGCCAACCATGGCAGGATTCTCTGCAGCCTTCTACTTCCTAACTCCAGCTTCAGGTGCTCAAGAGCTGAGGCCTCCAGGTCTGCCCTGTGCCAAGATCTGTGACTGTCACTACACAGAGGAACTGCAGCAGGGGACGAGTCCCATGGAAAGGTTTAAGTGTCCTTATCTCCTGCCATCCCTCTACAGTAAACACATCCCCTCTGGATTTTTCATCTCTCTGTAGGAAAAGTGACAATAACTCACTCCATCACTCTAAGAAAAAGGTCACAGAGAACTGGAAGATTCTCCCAACATTAGCAAATCCTAGAGAGAGCTGGAAGCGAAATGAGGGTGATGAAAAGCTCCAAGACACCTTTTTGTTTCCGAAGGGAGTGCTTTTCCCTTCCCTTTGAAGACGCCGAGCTGCAGAGCTGGCTCGGAGCTCTGCAGAGGCATCTGTCCCTGGCTGGAGATTACATAAGGAGCTCCATCAGCCTCCTCCTGTCTGGCAGGTACTGGGGATGAGATTAGAAACTCTGGCTCTGCTGTGCACACCTCAAGGCTTGCTTTGCTCCAAGGTGTAAGACTTTGCTCTGGTTTATAAGTAGAGACTCAGTGTTCAGAGAACACTGCAGTGCCCGTGAGCAGCTCTGGTGCAGGGCCCTCAGCAGGGTCACCCCAGCGCTGCTCTGGGGGGCCACACCCCCAGCACCCAACCAGCACAGCACGGCAGCGATGCCAATGGGATCCCAGGGCAGCATTAGGAACAGGGACACCTGAGCAGGCCCTGCTCCCTGGGCACTTGTGGATTCGGGCTACGGAGCCACCGACAGCAGTGACCCCAAGAGAAGGGAAGCACTTGCCAGGCCAGAAGTCCCGGAGTCTTTATGCTTCTCCGGAGCCTTTCCTGAAGCTCTGCTTCAGGATTTAATCAGCCAAGGCTGAGCCCTGGTGGCAGCTGTGGCTCAGTGACAGTGATCCAGTGCTGTCCCCTGCTGGCTGGGCCCGTGGCTCCGTCCGGAGTGCGGCAGCGGGGAAAAGTCCAGAGGAGCAGCACTGCGGGCTGTGCTGGGCTCTGAGTGCCCAGGAAAGCTGCATTCCCAGCTCCTGTGGATTAACATCAGCATCACAGGAGCTGGCTGCAGAGAGGAACCAGGAAATCAGTCAGGCTGGGAGGGCTGCCGGGCACTGCGTCAGGAGAACACCACCAGGGGCTGGGAGAACAGCCCAGTAGAGGGGTGACAGCAGCAGAGGAGGCTCTGCAACACACCCCAGGCTTGGCAAACATCCCCCCATCCCGCCCTGCTGCAGGCCTTCCTCCCCCCTCAGCCCCTGCTGCCGTACCTGGCGGATGGGCTCCGGGATGCGGTACCTGCAGCAGGACCCCACGAGGCGCACGGCCGTGTCCAGGCTCACCCTGTGCCCCACCGAGACGTACAGGGGCTTACAGCTGTTGCTGTAGCTCCGCAGCGCCTGGGCATGCAGAAACGAGACATCAAGCACCCAACAGGCTCCTTTAAAACACACAGAGGGGCAGGTGAACCACGAGCCAGGCAGTTGATCTCAGAGGGTGGGGTGGTGGCTCTGTGTCTGCAATTCCCAGCCTTCCTGAAGCTCTTCTCCATCCCTGTGTCTTCTCACAGGGACTGTTTGTCCCTCTGGACCCCCGTGGCCCTTCCCCAAACGCCTCACACTCCTCTGGGATGCAGGGACACGTGCCAGTGCAGACTGACACCAGACACAGGAAGTCTCTTACATCTGCCTGTTCCTGTTCTCCTCTGAGTCAGATGCTCCCATATTGCATCCTGGTGAACTGCCAGGGAATTGGCACCTCTCCCTGACTGGGGTTCACACACAGGGGTGCCAGAGCACCTCAGGTGCCACAGCCACAGCCGTGATTGTACCCAACACCGGAACTGGCAACTCTCTACGAACATCTGAGCTCTCAGGAAGGGGCTGGAAGTGTTACTGGTCCCTGTTCACACCTGCCTTCCTGAACTGGGATCACTGAGATAGCCCCACTGTGGAAACAACATCCTCATGGTCCAGTGACATGCTTACCATGCCCAGGACTCTCCCTGAAGAGCCTGTCAGTGGGAACGTATCTCCTGACCTCTGCAGGGAACGGATCTAGGGGTAAACACACACCAGGTCAGGTTGTTAGGAGGTATTTGTATGTGGCTGTGACAATTCCCTTGGGATACTAAAAAGCAGAAATACATTCCCAGCCTGGCCTAACCTGCTCCCTGTGCAGCTCGTCCCTGACCAAGCCATCCACCTGCAGGAGGTTCTTGGCCACTCCAATGCACGGCAGATCCGTCAGGACTCCGAGGTGACAGGCCACACCAAATCCTGCCAACAACGAGCCACTGTACCCACACGATGCCGGGGAACTGGAATCCCAACCAGCAGCACAGGGACCAGGACAGCAGGACCGTCCAGGAACAGCCTACCTCTGTGATGGAGCAGCCCATTCCCATCTACCAGAAGCACCTGAAAAAGCCAAAGCAGAAATGTTACTTCCTGAGCACTCCAAGGAGCAATCAGTGATTGGCTCCCTAAGGAAGGGACAGTGGATGCTCCAACACACCCGTGGAGAGCATCCAGTGCAGTCTCCAGAGGGAGAACACCTTTCAGCAGGACTCTGTGCCCACAGGACACCTCACCCTGGGACAAGGAAACACGGCACACCTGAGGTCTGAGCCTGGGCTGCTCCTGCTGAAGTCTCTGAACAGCTTCCACCAGGAAAGGGACCTCTCGGAAGGCCAGGAATCCGGCCACGTAGGGAGCAGTGACGGTCACCATCCGGCAATCCTCGTACAGCACCTGGAGCAGGAGCAGACAGAGACCCTGGAGACGCCTGATGAGTGCCAGAGGCTCCTCCTCTGGCTCATGTCCCCTCCTCAGATCCCTGCTGCTGGATCTCTCCCGCAGAGCCAAGGGCTTGGGGCTGTGTCAGTGTGTCACTGGGAAGGGACTGATGGCAGGAGAGGGCTGGACACACCATGCTCTGACTGAGAGAATCCTTGAACACAGCCAGGGCAGCTCCTGAGAGCCAGAAGGAACCTCACGCTGCCAGGGCAGCGCCAAAGGGGCCTGGTCAGGGACAGGACAAAACAAACCCTGTAAGGCAGGACAAAAAAGTGACCTGCAGGGCAAGGCAGGAATCACAGCAGGACCTGAAATTCAGTTCATAAAAATCCCAGCAGCCACATCAAACTTTATTTCTCCGCTTGTTAGAGCTTTTATAGTTAAAGATAATTTTTACATAAGCTGGGAAAGAGACCAAAAAACTTTATTAGTTCAAATAAAATGACTGTGTGATGCAGGAACCACGATGGATTTGGAAAGGCTTTTCTAAGTCCCATCCCATATTATCAGCCGACTCCCAGCAGGACTCACACATGAGGCTCTGCACTGGAGTGCTACAAACACTTCCCTCTGCCCACAGGCACTGAGGGATATCAGCCCCTTTTGGCTCATTTGGGAAAGGGCTGACACTGATTATTTCCAACACACACCCAAAGCAGTTGGTGTGTTGTATTTGACCAGGGGCTGCATCTTATCACAGCCTTTGGGAGGTGCCAGCCCCCCTGAACAGACACTAAACCTGTATCTGGACACCTTGTGAGTTCCGAGCTATCCTACAAACCTCTTGTGATCAGGAGCTGTTTGCATCACATCTTCCTAAACTTATATCTAAATCCTTACGTGTATTTTTTCGCTATCTTTTTTGTGAACACACAATTGGAGGATTTGCTGAACAAACTGAAAATCATAGAACCATGGAACAGTTTGGGTTGGGAGGGACCTTAAAGATTATCTCGTTCCACCCCCTGCCATGGGCAGGGACACCTTCCACTGGCCCAGGGTGCTCCAAGCCCCGTCCAACCTGGCCTTGGACATTTCCAGGGATCCAGGGGCAGCCACAGCTTCTCTGGGCAACCTGTGCCAGGGCCTGCCCACCCTCGCAGGAAGGAATTCCTTCCCAGTATCCCTGCCCTCCTTCAGCCCAAGGCGTCACAGGGGGTACCTGAGCGATGCCCTGCAGGGAACGGCCTTTGAGAAAGCTCCCTACAAACCCCTCGTGTCCCGGCACACCCGGACAGAGCCCTGGAGCGAGGGGTTCACCCGGGTTACCTCGAGGGCTGGGTAGCTGAGCACGACCAGGGACGCGCAGGCTCTGGTGTCGTCTCCTTTGACGTAGGATAAATCCACACCCCCCACTCTCTCCAGCCCGGCGAAACTCGGGTCCTTCTGCCACTTCTCGGTGTCCTGCTCCACCACGCCGGCCTTCAGGCGGGCCTGCTCCCTGCAGAGAGCCCGGGGCGGCACTGAGAGGGGGGTCCCTTCCCCGGCACTCCCCATCCCCGCCAGCGGTGCCTCGGGGAGCCCGCAGACCCCACCCGGGGGGACAGAGCAGTGGGGGCTGTCCCCGAGGGTGCCCCCTGTCCCCGAGGGTGCCCCCTGTCCCCGGTACCGTTCCCAGCGGCTCCGCTCGGCCGGGCCGGCCATGGCGGGCGCGGGGCCGCCCGTCCCTCCCCGCCGTGTCCCCCGGAACGCGGGGCCCAGCGCGGCCGTTCCGGGCGCGGAGCAGCCCCGGCTCGGGATCCTGGAACCGGGGAGTGCTCCGGGATGGGAGGGAACTCACAGCTCATCCAGTGCCCCCCTGGCCAGGGGCAGGGCCGCCTTCCACCAGCACAGGCTGCTCCAGGCCCTGTCCAACCGGGCATTGGACACTCTCAGGGATGGGACAGGCACAGCTTCTCTGCCCAACCTGTGCCAGGGCCTGCCCACCCTCACAGCCAAGGATTCCTTCCCCATAGCCCATCTAACCCTGCCCTCTGCCGGCTTGAAGCCATTCCCCCTTGTCCTGGCACTCCAGGCCCTTGTAAATAGTCTCCCCATCTTTTCTTGTAGTCTCCCTTTGGGTCCTGGAAGGCCACAATCAGGTCACCCCAAAGCTTCTCTTCTCCAGGCTGCACAATCCCAACTCTCTCCCCTTTCCTCCCAGCAGAGCTGCTCCAGCCCTCTGATCCTCTTGGTGCCTCCTCTGGACTCTCCAGCAGCTCCACGACCCTCCTGTGCTGTTCCCAGGGCTGGGGCAGCTCTGCTGGGGGGGCAGAGGGGCAGAACCCCCCTGCCCTCTGCCCACGCTGGGGATTCCACTCGTGGCACTCCCCATCCCTGTGGACCACAGGGCCAAATGAGAGGGGGAAGGAGCCAAAGAAAGAACTAAACAAAGCTTTATTGGGGAAGAGCAGTGGGGCCCAGCCCCAGGACAAGGCCGTAGCAGCTGGGTTAAGGCAGTGAAGGAGCCAATTCCTTCCCAGTTCCATTTCTCCTTCCTGGTCCAGCCCCATCATGGTGCAGTGAGGTGGTGCTGGCAGCAGGTACCCAGGCAGGAAGGGGGAGCTGGAAGAAGGAGCCAGTTCTACATTCTGCTGACAACTCAGTGTCAGAAGAAATGCAGATTGAAAAAATAAATCCCTTTTCCCAGCACCAGGGCACAGTGGTTTGTAAAAAAATTACTTCATCTTCCTGAGGTGGCTTTGGAGCTGTCCACGACACACACAGCTGCTGGTCCTGTTTCATCCTCCTGCTGCACGGAAGCAGCTCCACAGCACATGTTTTGTACTGAAGTTAGTAAAAAACAACAACCCCAAACCCAAAAAGCAATCAACAAACCCAAAACAAACCCTCCACCATTCCCAAATGACCACCCCTGGGTGCTGTGGCACCGACATTCCTGGCAGGGGCCTGTTCCTAACTTTCCCTGCGCTCTCGTTTGAAACGAGCAGCTGCTTTCCAGGTAGCAATTGCATGAGAGAGAAGAATCTCATCTGGGAACGTCTCTTGCAGCTCTGTAGCTAATTCAGAGTCTTTGGCGTCAAGGTAAGGCAGGAGCGATTCCTTCAGGCTGGAAAACAGAGCAGAACAGTTCCATTAATAGCTACAGCAATCCACAAGTGCCATGTAATATCGGTGTATTCCCGCCACCCAAAATACTAAATATACACAGTTTAACAGGAAAGGAAGTCACATATGCCCAAAATGGGCAGTGTATCTCAGGACTAAGCTGGATATTTCTGGTGTTGTTGGTTGTCTGTGTCCCCACAGGACAGCCATTTGCCCAGGGAACTGTTCCCATTGTGTGCATTCTCAGAGGCAAAGAAGCTTCAGTTTATAACTGCTGGGTTTGGGCTGTGTAACTCCTACCTCCACCTGGGTCTGAATTCATCCACAGCTTGGGCACGTCTCAGCTTCAGGACAATCATTTCATGGAGCTCCTGCAGGAAGGTTTCCAGCCTCGAGTGGACAAGGAAGGTGTGGAGGAGCTTGGCAATCTCTGGACTGAGCTCAGCTTTGTAGTCTCGACTGACATCTGCAAAAGGATCCTAAAAACACAGCGAGGGAAAACAGACAACCAGACAGACAGTTGAGCAGGTTCCTTGAGAGCAGAGGAAGAGCTGGTCAGGCAGTTCTGGGGGTGCCATACCCTTCTGAGGCGCAGCAGCTGCTCCGATTTGCGGGTGGAGAGGAGCTGCCACAGGGCTATGCTGTGCTTGAGGTGGCATCGTCTGAGGGCCTGCAACAAAAACACATACATGGATGTAAGGGGTGTCTTTGGGAGCCTGTCCCCAGCCTGCTCTGCACAGGCAGGTCACAGCTCAACAGGGAGCTCATCCAGCCCTTTAACCCTGTTATAGCCTGCCTGCAATAGGCCCCTCTCTCCCCCCTCCCCATTTTGCCTTCAATAATCCATCTGTTTGGTACCATGAAAGGGAGTGGGAAAGTGACAGGGCTTTGTCACATGTCCTGGTCACAACCCAGTGCCTTTGTCCTACCAGTGAAGGGCCTCTCTTCACACATCATTAGGAGATAAAACCTTTCACATCATCTGTTTAGAGAGGTGAAGGGATGGTTTCAGCCCTGCTCAGCACCAGGCCAGTGCCACCAGGACGTGACTCAGATCTGAAGTTCTCCCTTTGCTCAGTTTTAGCTTTGCAATAATTCTGCTGACACTCCATTGATCCTTCTCCTTCCTGTGCTGTCAGAGCCTGGATCTGCAGAGGAGCCTGACCTTCTGCACCTCCTGCACCTGACCTTTCTGGAGGGTTGCACGAACCTGCTGAGCATCATAAGCTGTCAGGTCCTCCCACCTTGCAAACAGTGGTTGCAGAGGGAGTGAAAATTGCTTCTCCTTCACTGCTGAATACAGTGGGGAGGGAATGTGATCACCCTTTCAAGCTAAACTTTTGCTGGGCCTGGAGGCCCCACTGGCTGGTTTTAGCCTAAACCAGTGCAATTCTACCCTGTAAGAAGAAGAGCTTTGCCCTCAGGACTCACCTGCAGAATGTGAGGGTTTGTCTGGTCCCCCATCTGCAGAACTTGTTCAATGTAGTCAGTCAGCAGCATCTCGGCGTTCTCCCCAGCCATGGCCAGGAAGCCCAGGGTGATCTCAGTGAGGGACAGAGCATCACAGACATCACTGTAGGACTGCAGCTCCCCACTGATCACGTTCATCACAGAACTGGGCAGAGCACTCTGAAAACCATGAAGTCAGAGCTAATATTAGTTTAGAGCCACTCCTTACTGCTGCTCAAGTCCCCATCCCCATCCCCACTCATGGAAGAGGACAGAGCCCCAGGTGTAGGAAACTCAAATGCTGAACCGCCTCCCTTTCCTTTGTAAACCCAGACTGACAACAGAAGTCCAGACCGTTCATATTCAAGGCATGCTGAGAGAACAGTGGACAAGCCTTCAGATGGACAAGGCAAGGGACAGAAAATCCAAGAGTTCCTAGGAAGTCAGGGGTCTCACGTTTGCCCTGTTTCCCCCAGTGCAGAAACCCACCTGCTCCAGCTTATTCCTGACATCATCAAACAGCTGCTCGTAGTTCCGATCATGTCTGCACACGAGGGTAGGGATTCCCTGTCAGAGGAGAGAAACCCAGGGATGTGAAGCTCTGGAGACACCGCTCACCCTGCACAGTGAGTGCCTGGCAGCAGCACCCGCTGCAGGGCCCCCCCACACCCCCACACAGTCCCACCGTCAGCGTGATGAGCGGCTTCCCCTGCAGGAACTTGCTGATGATTTGCTGCTGGATCTTCTCCAGATCAAAGTCCTGCAACGTCTCCCCTCCCTTTTCCATGCTGTACTGGCAGTTGGACAGGATCAGAGGAATCAGGTCTCTCTCAACCTCATAACTGATCATGTGCAGGTCAGCCACTTCCGACGGGCTGATCGAGTACCTGCAGCAGAGCAAACGGTCTCCATTCAGAGCGAGGAGCCTTTCTGCAGCAGGGGAAGCTGCGTGTGTGGGAGCAGGAAATAAAACAGAGCCCCAAAAACGGAACAGCGACGCACCTGTCATCTTCCTTGATGTGTTTGTTCACTGAGTGGATGAAGTCGTTGTGCAGACTGATGAGGTAACTGGCCAGGGCGGTGGAGCACAGGCCCAGCCCCTGCCGTCGGGGCAGAAGGACCTCGAGCTTGCTGTCCAAGGTCAGGTCAGCATCACAGTAGCCTTTAGGGAGCTTAATTTCCCCTGAAATAAAGAAGAGACTGTTTGAGGTGGTCCAGGAGGCAGCCCAGGCTGAGCAAGCCTCTCCTGACCCAGGGCAGGAAAACGTAAGGCCTGAGAAAAGCCCTGCTCTCTGCATTAGGGATCAGCACTGAAGCACACAAGTTCAGGTGAGAGCACTACAGGAGGGAAACAAATTCTTCCACTTGTGCCTAGATGATCTTAAAATTTAATGGCCAGGCTCGGTTTTGAGGATGTGTCTCAGCATCACTGACAGGAGGAACCTGAACTGAGAGAGGAGCAGCGCTGGCACAGAAGCTGCTCACCATTGGTGTCCAGAGAGCTTCTCAGCTTGTTCCAGACAGACAGAAACACATTCACTCTCCTCTGTAACAGGTCCCTCATCACATCTGAGGAAGAACAGAAAGACAAATCCATGAAACACCTGGTAACACCGTGAAATTCTGTAATACAGGAATTTTCAAAGCACACCACTGAACTCTACACTTTTTTAAGGGTTAAGGTCTCCAGTTAATTTGGATGGGAATTAAAAAGAAAGATGAAGTCTTAACATTGCAAGTTCAAGAGAAGTTTTCACCTTCCTTTTCAACTGGACAATCCAGCACCTTTTATTTTAGTAGTTCCAGTTTTGGTAGAGTCTTCTCACCTGAGAGGGGTTCTCTGAGGAATTCCCTGATGGAGCAGTGTTTGATCTCAGCTGTGTTCTGGAACCGCCTCACCAAGTCCCTCTGCAGAGCCAGGATCTCTGGCAGGAATTTCACCAGCCTCAGCTCAGTTTCCTGGAAGAGGAAAGGGAGCCCGTGTGGGTAAGGCTGTGCTTGGACAAACCCCTTTTGGATACTTTTACGGAATTACTCTTTAAATGTTTAAAAGACAACAATATTTTCCATGTGCATTCTCAAGATTATAGCAAGTGCTGAGAATAAAGTCACTGGATAATCCAAACATGGTTTAGTCCTGGGCAACTGGCTC